GGATCATGACCTGAGCCGAAGGCAGTCGCTTAACCAACTGAGCCACCCAGGCGCCCCCATTTTCATACTCTTGACTATGATTTATTACAGTGAAAGGATACAAAGCAAAATCAAAGGGAAAAGGCACATGAGGTGAAGTCTGGAAGAAACCATGTATACGCTTCCAAGCGTCCTCTCCCAGTGGAGTCTGTGGCAGGGCATGCCTCGTTCCTCCAGCAGTGAGTTGTGACTGTACCTGTGAATCTCATCTATTAGAAACTCAGTGCCCTTGGTTCTGTCAGGGGCTAGTCACAGACATCCCCTGCCTAGCATGTACCCAGATTCCAGACTCTCAGGAGGAAAGTGGGTGTTAGCATCCACCTCATTGTGTAGACTGTAGGCACAGTGAACCATTCTCAGTTCTGGGAATGCTGGGAACCCTCCTGAAATCCAGGTTCCCAGACCCCAGCCAGAGGGCCAACCTTGTAAACAGGCGTTTCTGAGCATAGCCGATTCAGTGCTGCTGTGTTTACTGTTTTCTGCAGAGGATACATGGGTGTACTTTCTGTACTGTTGGATATATCATTAGGGACAGTGGAAAGGCGACACCTTTGAAGTGTGAAAATGATTCTTAGGAAAACAAGGGAAATTTTTGGAAAAATAAAGCTTTTGTTAGGCTGGTATTAGGATAGTTGTAATTTTTTTTTTTTTTCTGTTTATCTACCACCCTCCTGTTTTTCTACTGTAAAGTAAGTGTGGTAGGATTCTTTTATGTCCCTACCTGCATATAAGGGAGGGGTGGTAAGGCAGAGTTGCGGTCCTATGGCTTAAGGTAGCTTATTAAGTGGTTGGTGACCTAGCCATTTCTGGATCCTAGCAACAGCAAGCTTTCAGGATAATTTGAAATAGTAATTGCTTTCTTGCCATGCACATTTTCCCCCTTTTTATCCTCCCTTTATTGTATGCAGCTGTTATTCTACTTTTCATTGTGGTGATGTTTCGAAATTGTGGTTGTCAGTTTTTGCTTTAAGCTTTTTTAAGGAGAACTAGTTTTCTAGAGAACTAATTGTCCACTGCTTCCCTACTGCTGCTGTGGCAGGTTGTGGCCACGGCACTGCTGTTGACCTCTGCCCGCTGCGAAGGCCTGAAGTGCCACTGCTTGCTCTCGGACCTGCTAAGCCAGGAGGAGCACCTGTGGCCCGCAGCTGGGACGCATTCATAGCGCTTGCACCGGGGTTGGGGTGGGGCCTGAAGGTCGGTATTTTAGAGCCTGTTACTCTCATGGCTCTTAATTTATGAGTGATTTGTACTCCTTGGCTCCTGTATGTGTGTTGTTTAAAAAAAGAAAACATCCGTTAATGTGTTTTTTTAATAGATGATATTTTCATAGGTTTTAAACATTTAAAAGTATTCGAAGGTACACAATAAAGAAAAAAAACGCCTGTGTGCCTCTTCCCTAAGACAGGTTGCCAGTTAATAGTTTTTGGTGTATCTTTCCAGACATATTGTGTGTGTGTGTGTGTGTGTGAGTGAGTGTTACTTTTCCTTATGTTTTACGTAATTGTTAGCCTACTGTTTACACATTTCTATGTGTGTGCTTATTTTCTATGTGTATATATATTCTTTGTCATATTGAAAATTAGTGACATTCCAAGAGTGTCGAAAGCAGTTATACAGTAAATAGCTTCCTAGCCCTGAAGAAGGAACCGATTTTTTTTCTTGTATTTTGACCTTAAGTTATAGAGGACCTGGTTCTAGTCTCCACTATAGCCTGTACTCCAAAGAGTGTCAATTCCTGGGGCGCCTGGGTGGCTCAGCCGTTAAGCGTCTGCCTTCGGCTCAGGTCATGATCCCAGGATCCTGGGATCGAGCCCCGCACCCACATGAGGCTCCCTGCTCCGTGGGAGTACTGCTTCTCCCTCTCGCCCTGCTGTGTTCCCTCTCTCACTGTGTCTCTCTCTGTCAAATAAATAAATGAAATCTTTAAAAAGTGTCAATTCCTTTTATTCACTTATTGGTTTGTAATTGATCTCAAATACAAAACTTTTTTTAAGGTTAAGTAATTATTAAATTTTTTTCTTTTGTAGTGTGCAATCCGAAGAGCTACTCTAAATAGGTCATTTACTCCTGTCCTTTTGGGAAGTGCGTTGAAGAACAAAGGAGTTCAGCCTCTTTTAGATGCTGTTTTAGAATACCTCCCAAATCCATCTGAAGTCCAAAATTATGCTATTCTCAATCAGGAGGAGTAAGTCTTCGAAATTGAATCTTAGTTTACGCTGAAATATTTTAACATTTATGCACTATGAAAGAACTTAAGAATGGTTCTTTTGATTAAGTTGTGTTTGGGGGGTTCCCCCCCCCCATAATTTACGAAAATCAGTTGCCAGTTTCTGTTTGGGTAACACTTTTGACATATAGAAAACTATTTATTATACCACTTGCCATATCATATTCTGTTTGTAAGTTAGAAGTATGATTTATTATCTACCAAGGTTTACATCATTAGTAAATTTTTTCATTTGGGACCAGCTGTTTTCAGCCACACCAAAAAAAACAAAAACAAAAAAACCCTTAAGCTTTGAAACACAGACTTTTTTTTAAGTTCTCATTGATTATTTTTCTTTTCTTTCTCTGCCATTTTTGTGTTTTTAGTCTGCTCTGGTCCTGTCCTAATGTAGTAACTAAGCCCTGAGAAGTTATTCTTACTAATCTCTTTCAGTGAAATTTCATTTATGTGAGGTCAGAAATGTTTAGCATGTATATGCTTTTTCTCAGATAATACTCTGATGAAACAAATTGCTATAAAAGAAATATCAAATAATGTGTCTCACAGATTTATATTTCTTTTAAGTGACTCAAAAGAGAAAAACAAAATCTTAATGAACTCCGAGAGAAGCAGTTCCCACCCATTTGTAGGCCTGGCTTTTAAACTGGAGGTAAGTTGCTTTCTAATGTATTTAATTGCTGTACATGGAAATTTTCTTTTACGGTGTTCTTCCTGTTACAAAATGACTTTGTTACAAATTTCTCTGCTGAAAGTTACTCCCCTTGTCCTCTTTCCATACTGCCTCTTTAGAAGGAAGTTACTGTATGCAGCCCACACTTAAGGTGTGGGGAATTATGTTCTACCCCCTTGAGGGAGCAGTATCTACTATTCAGTTATTTGGGATTCTTCTATATGGGAGAGTTGTCTTCTCTCCCCCATTTATCTTTTTATTCAGTCATTTCTTTATATCAGCCTGGCCTCATGGATATTTATTTTGTTATAATGAGTAGTATGTTATTTATTTTGTTGTGCAGGTTGGCCAGGTTTGGCCATTGGAGCTCTTTTAGTTGCTCCTGGGTCCTTTTGACATTCTGCAATGTTTTGTTCTTTTGAATCCTTCCTGACTTTGTGGCACTGCAGGATCCTCCACGCTAGAACCTAGAACCAGTCACTTCTCTAGGTGCCTTGGTTCCATTCCTCTTAACCGAGAATGGTATTAGAAACCAAGATTTGGGTACCTGGGAGTATTTTTTGTTAGGTTGTTGTTGCTGCTGTTCATACTATTTTAAGGGGGAAAGAAGGTGGTTAAGTTAGAAGTGTTAAAAGTGGTTATTTTTGGGGCGCCTGGGTGGCTCAGTCATTAAGCGTCTGCCTTTGGCTCAGGTCATGATCCCAGGGTCCTGGGATCGAGCCCCACATCAGGCTCCCTGCTCTGCGGGAAGCCTGCTTCTCCCTCTCCCACTCCCCCTGCTTGTGTTCCTCTCTCGCTGTCTCTATCAAATAAATAAAATCTTTAAAAAAAAAAAAAAAGTTATTTCTGGGATGGGATTATATTTGGGGGGCTTTTAGTTTTAAAAATTTTTACAATATACTTATTCTAAAAAACGTAATTTTAAGTTAAAAAGTACAAATAACGTTGTGGTGACAGTTTTTATGGGTAAAGCTTTTAAAAGTGTACATTTAGGAATATCTTCTTAGGGTTCCTGGAATGGTGATTACTGAATTAAAGGAATAGAATGTTTTAATATTTAATGGGTTTATTGCCAGATTTCTTTCATACTCTCAGAGTTAATGTATTAAATTATTTCAATGAATCTTTATCAGCATTATTATTTAAAAATTACTACCAGTTTTATAAGTGAAAGTTAATAATTCTTCTTGCTTTAGTTCCTTTTTTGTAAATTTTATTTTATATCTTGCTTTAATTCCTAATGGTAGAGAACATTTTTCCATATATTGATTATGCAGTTATAATTCCTTTTTTGCAATTGTCTCATTTCTTATTTTAAAAATTAGTGTCAAAGTGTTTATTTATTTAAATGATCTTTCTCTAATCTTATTTTTTTTTAAACAATCAACAGTTTAAATTTATAGTCAAATGTATCAGTCTTTTTTAGTTCTCTCATTTTTTAACCTTAGAAATCCTCTTTGTATATATTTCATAAATGTTTTCTACTTTTTCTTTGGTGGGTTTTTTTTTCCATTGTTAATCCAGCTGGAATTTGTTTTGCTGTGAGGTGGACTCTAAATGTATCTCCTCTGCCTCCAAATAGAGGACCAGTTGTCCAGCTCCCAGTTTTTGAACAATGCTGTACTTTTTCATTGTCATGTCTTTTGTCAGCATTGTCTGTTGACAAATGTATTCTGCATTTTAGATATTTTTTTACTCTGTGTGCTATTCAGTTTAATTTGTGCTGCTTCCTTTTTAAGTTTCGAGTATTTAATGTTTTTATATCAGTCATGGTTAGCTTCTCATTGCCATAATAGTTCAGAAATTTCTATTTTTATCCATTCTTCTAAATGAACTTTAAAATCATTAATCATATGTTTAAAAATTCCTCTTGGGATTTTTATTGCTATTGTGTTAAACCTATAAATTAATATGGGAAGAATTGGCAACTTTTGAAACCTACCCAGTTGGTTAGTGTTAGTATTGAGGAGGAATTGATCCTTGGTTATTTATTTTATATTCAGTTACTTTAAAGAATGCTTATTTATATAGCTTTCCAGGTGCTTATCAAAGGTTTTTTTTTTTAGATGTACATTCTTACCATTTCTAATTATATTTTTGTTGTCTTTCCAATAATTATAATTTATTTGTGTTTTATATCTTAATTGTATTAAACCAAACTTATGAAATAATAATAGAAGGCAAAAGGATATTTCCGTATTGCATACACAATTTAAAATTATTTTCTAATTTTTATTTCAGAGGAATCAGAAGTAGTACCAGAAAGATCAAAAACAACCATTTAACTCATATATATTCAAAGCTAGTATTTAAGTATTTTAGACCATCAACCAAAACGTGTATAAAGTGTACTACTAAAATTGATAGGGAATGATTGGAGGATGTTGTGAAGTTTTTCTCTCTCTTTTTTTAAAGATTTTATTTATTTATTTGACAAGAGAGCACAAGCAGGGAGAGTGGCAGGCAGAGGGAGAGGGAGAAGCAGGCTTTCCGCTGAGCAGAGAGCCCGATGCGGGGCTCGATCCCAGGACCCCGGGATCATGACCTGAGCCGAAGGCAGATGCTTAACAACTGAGCCACCCAGGCACCCTGATGTTTTTCTCTTAATTTTGATTCTTATGTTTCTTTTTCATCTTTCCGCCTTACCCCATCTTGACTTCTAGGCTGGGCGATTTGGACAGTTAACTTATGTCCGCAATTATCAAGGAGAGCTGAAGAAGGGTGACACCATCTATAACACGAGGACAGGAAAGAAAGTGCGGGTGCAGCGGCTGGTTCGCCTGCATGCCGACATGATGGAGGCAAGTATGGGTCCTTCCTGGCAGATCAGAAATTTCTCTAATGCAGGTGAGATAGATCTACCTTCTTGGTACCCCGAGCCCCACAAGAAAATCACTTCTATTTAAATGTTTCACTAGCTTCTTCCTTTTTACTTAGATGTGCTATAATTTTGATGTAGCTCTTTGGTATGGGCTAAATTAGCAGATGTTAAGGACACATTTTATATACTATTTGTGATTAGCTGTATTTTCTCAATGGCCAAGGTTAAGGAGAAGAGACAGTTCCTTGACTTAGAACCCAAGATTCAGCACCTTTCTCAAGAGTTGTCATTACAAAGAGTATAACAGGTGTTGGGACAGTGGAACTGTGGTTCTCAAAGGTAATTGAGAGTAATCAATTCACACACAGTGTCCCACATTATTCAGTGAATTTACTTTCGCAAGTATGGCCCCATGTGAAAGCCCTGTTTAAGCTAGAGTTTTTTATTCCTGTTATAGAACCAGTGCCCTCCCCCACCCCCCGAAGGACCATATTGGTGCTAGAATCCATGTGAAGATTTAGAACCTTTCAAGGTCATATCTGGGAAATAAACTTTGGCTTACGGCTTGAATTTTTGAATTGGCTCTGAATCCCTTCTAGCCTTCTATATGGCCTTTCAGGGTTAGGCCTTAGTAGAAGTGCCACACGTGTGGTATTATCTCCCACTCCCGCTCTTTCCCCAGTCAGCTCTATGTTCCTAGAGACGTTTATTAGTCTGAGCAAAATCTTACAACATTCAGAAATTTGTGGTCTCTTCTGGAAGATGAATAAGCAGTCTTTCAAAATTGGATCTTATTGCTGTTTTGTGAGATAGGCAGCAGGGGGCATAATACAGGGATTAGTGATTGTCACAGATGTTTTTATGGGCCAGAGGCTACGAGATGTTTACATCTGTGGAACTGTTAAAGACTCAGGCACACTTGGTCATTCACAGCCACAGCTGTTATGAATGAACTGTCAGTATAAATGGACAAAACCTAGGAAGCTTAAGAGGCACCAGTGCTTTGTTCTTAGATTTCCTGTGTTTATTTGACTGCTTGCACTGTGAGAAATTAAGATTATTTTAAGTACAATGGGCTGAATTCTCCTGCCTTTGTTTTCAAAACTTCCTTTGCAGTTTTTCCTTGTACATCTTTGCCATGCATATCTCATTGTTGGACTGTGGCAGCACATATAATATATCCTTTTTAATCCATAGAAATAACTTTAGAAGTGTGAGGCTCTGTGTTCTGTCAGTACTACAGATCTTCCAACTTAATGATGCCATAGCTCTGAGTTTCCATACAAAGTAAAATCTTGTCAGTTGAGATGTGGTTTAAATAAAGGCCCTATTCAAGGTATATCTTGCCTTGGTTGATTATTGGTATTACATTTGTTCTAGCTAATTCATTCTCTGTAGAATTCACGGTGAGATTCTGCCATGTTCGTTTATGTACAACGTGCTCATTGTGTGATTACTTTTCAGTTAGCGTGTCCTGATTTGTATTATTTGCAAGTATTATTTTGTGTTCTTTCTTTCTTTAGGATGTTGAGGAAGTGTACGCTGGAGACATCTGTGCATTGTTTGGCATTGACTGTGCTAGTGGAGACACATTCACAAACAAAAATAGTAGTGGCCTTTCTATGGTACGTCATTTATAGCACTTGGGTTTTAGAAGTCTGTTTTTATGTAGTATATTTAGTACTTCAGAAAAACAGTCACAGTTTTCATTTATTGCCACAGGCATCAGTATAGATTTGTCGTGGCTTTTTGGATGTCAGTTAGACAAGCGCGCTGTGTGACCTAACTTACCTGGTTTTTCTTAGTAAGATAATTCCACAGTCCTCTAAGATTGAGCATAGAGGGAAAAATCTTCACTAGATACACCTGAACTGTGTAGCTCTGACTCCTCTACTCTGAGATCTTCTTCCCCATTGCCGATTCCTCTCTAATTCCTGTCACCAGAATCAGGCTAATCCCGGTGGACGGCCACTTAACAGCCAGAGTGGGCCCTTGCCTCAATCCCCCAGAGAACTGTAACATGTAGACTAGGGGATAACAGAATGGAACCTTGCTCGAAGGCAAGGTGCAACTAGACAGTCTGACTTAGCGCACACAGCCTGCCCTGTGGAACTCAGAGGTCCCTTTTCATGACTGAGGGATCCCAAAGGGAAGAGCATGCTTGGGCACTTCCTGCCTTTGAATCCCCTTCATTCACTTCCCTTTTTTGCCCCTGTAGGAGAATAGGCTCTCCGACAGTATGACATCTGTTCATGAGGGTGGTCCCTCTCCTGACTTCAGTAAAGAAAGAATATGAGTACATAGGGGGATGGGTAATTTGAGGTGAAGGAATTTACAGTGGGTCATTTACATAAGAACTGGTCCAATCCTAACAGATGAGCACTGTAGTAGTCCCTGTATTATGTGGTGAATTTATAATTTTACAATTTAGCTTTTCTGTATAAGATATTCTCTAATTAGTCTATGGTTTTACATGTTGCTTTAAGATACTACAAAAAATCAAAATCTATACAGGTCTTTGGGGGGGTCTAGAGAAGGGGCATGGTTTATAAACAAATATTATTGATAAGGCCTTCTCTAAATACTTGTAATTAGTATATGAGGGACTGGAGGTTGTGGGAAGTGCTTAGGCTTTGAAGCAAATAGACCTTGATTACAGTCTCACCTCTGCCAAGTTATTTTGTCTTTCCAAGACTTTAATGATTTTATTTGTAAAATGGGGATAATAATAACTGCTTGTCAGAGTTGTGACTGATTAAATGAGGTATCGTATGTATAAAGAATCTAGTGTCCTTTCTCTGTTTTATCAGTCGTGGCATATTTTGATTAAATAGCTTATCAAAAGACAGCAATAGCACATGTCGCCACTAGCCAATAAGAATTCAAATCTTGGCATTTGGGTTCATTACGATTATGTTTAAAATGAATGTGTCAATCAACTTGAGGGTCTTAAACAGTTAATAAACAGTTTATTTTTGTTATTTTGGGAGAGAAGAGATCATGTAAGTGTATGCATTTATTAATGTATTAATATATTTAATACAAAACAGACCAAGATATATACTGTCTAGCCTAAATGTGTTGACTAGTATTTGTCCTTTGTTCTTTTGTAAGTACCACATTAAAAGTAATCCATCCCTGACCCAAACAGTACTGTATTTGAATTCCTCTCTGTTCTTTTAAAAAATATTTTAGGAGTCAATTCATGTTCCTGATCCTGTCATTTCAATAGCAATGAAGCCTTCTAACAAGGTAGGAGTTTGGTTTCAATCCAAATAAAAACTTGAGCTCTTTTTCATCTTTCTGCACAATGCACATAGTATCTTGTGGTAACCAGCAATCTTACGGTCTCTATTTCTTCTTTTGGTATTGAGATCACCTTCTAAAACTACCAGTCTCTTGGTAGTAATTAGTTCTCACTATACCTGAAAAAATTGATGGTATTAAAATGGGCACAAGACTGTGCTTTCTAACTCTTTCTAATATCATTGGCTCCAAAGTGGTAAGAATATTTTCCTGTGTTCAGATCATAAAGGAGTGGAAAAGGGGAAACAGGGACATTTATCCTAAGTTGTAGTAAAACCTCACTGAGGTACATTAGATTACTACATAGATTAATTGCCTCATGGATTATATTACATCTCTGGATTTGTGGTAGTTATGAAGTATATGTCTGGTTATAACATGGAAAGCCTGCAAACAAGATTTTTTTCTAAAAGATTTTATTTATTGATTTGAGAGGGAGAGGGAGCACGAGCAGGGGGGAGAAGCAGGCTTCCCGTCGAGCAGGGAGCCCGATGCGAGGCTGATCCCAGGGCCCCGGGACCATGACCCGAGCCGAAGGCAGACACTTAATGACTGAGCCACCCAGGCGTCCCTCCACTTTTTTTTTCTTTTAAAGTAGGCTCCATGCTGTGTGTGGATGTGGGGCTTGAACTCACAACCCTGAGATCAAGAGTCAGACACTTAACCACCTGAGCCACCCAGGCACCCCTTTCTCAGTTTCAAATATAATAGTTTTATGGTTGGATTTGATGTCATTTCGCTTTTTATGAAACCAGAATTCCTTGAATAGGTTCTTACTCTCATTACTGCCATTAGAATTAGTTTGTATTAATGCCATATTGTTTGAGTTCTTAAATTGCTTTGACATTCATAACAGTCATGTTAGTATGGTAAATTGAAATGGACTCATTCATGCATCGAGTGAATATTTTATGACCTCTTGTCATCTGGGAACTACTGTTTAGAGAACATACTCTGATGTATTGTCTTGTGGATACATTAACAGGTACTTCTTCCTCTATTTTGAGGAAATGAGCTTTTCCAGACCCTTCTCAGTATAGAAAAGAGAATGTTTAGGGAGCAGGAAACATTATGTCATACCATCTCAAATTTGAGGAAAGGCAAACCTTGCATCTTACCACACAGCGAAATGCCACAGTTCCAGGTGCTTTGCTAAATTGCTTGCTTTTCCCTTTTGAATAATCAGGGAAAGAAGTTAAAGATACTGTGCTTCTTCATTCCTAATTCAGAGTTTATGTAAGATATTTAACTCTTGATAGTTCACAACAGTGGAGGAAAATCAAAGGCATCAATATCTAAAAGGTTTTTTTGGTGTTTCAGGCTTGTCTGTTTGCTGGAGTAAATTAATTTAAATCAAATAATGAAGTCACTGCATAAAGCTGTGAATCTCGATAGTGGGGGCAGGGATGATCTTCTAGTAAGTTGGGAGTACCTGGCTAATGTAGGGAAAATGCAAAAACTTAGAGATAGACTAACTGAGGTTTCAGTCCCAGCTTTGCCATGCACTAGCTCTGTGGCCTTGAGCAGGTCAGTCAGCCTTTCTAGACCTAGTTTCCTCACCTGTGAAATGTGGATAATTCTGTGTTGCAGCATTGTGGTTAGAATTTGAGGTACATATTCAAAACATGAATATAGCACAGTTCTATGCACACGTGATAACTGTTAAATACTGGTGATGCAGGGTGTGTTCGTTTTTTTCTGTTGCTGCCATAAGAAAGTACCACACACTTGGTGGCTTAAAGTAGCACAAATGTATTATTTTACAGTGTTAGAAATCTGACATAGTTCTTAATCGACTAAAATGAAGATACTGACAGGACTGACAGGACTGTTCCTTTCTGGAGGCTCTAGGGGACATTTTATTTTTGCTTACTCAGATTGTTGGCAAAATTCAGCTCCTTGTGGCTGTTGGGACTGGGGTCCCCATTTCTTTGATGACTGTCACCTGGGGCCTGTTTTTAGCTTCTAGAAGCTGTCCATTTTCGTAGGCTTTGGCCACTCCTCTTGTCTTCAGTGCTGTCAACCACGCAGTCAACTCCTTTTGTGCTTCATATATCTTCTGCCTCTTCTTCCCTCGTTCCATCTTTCTAACTTAACCCTTCTGTTTTCCTCTTCCTTTTTAAAGGCCCATGTGATTACATTGGGCCAACCCAGATTCTTCATGGTAATCTTCCCATCGCAGAGTCTGTAAATTTAATCGTATCTGCACAATCCCCTTCATCATATGAAGTAACATTCATGGGTTTGGGGGGATTAGGGCTTATCCTTAGAGGACCATAATTCTACTTACCACGTATGGAATTATATCTAAGGAGAATAAAGGTGCATGCAATCAAATCCAAGCAGGGAGAAGTCTCAGTGTGACATTTGCCTTACTCTTGGTCTTAACTGTCCTGCTTGAATCTACAATCAAATCTTGGTAAACGTGCTGATTCCTTTGATTATGTATAGAATTTCTAAAATGTAATAGAGTGACAAGGATGCTTTTTCTTCACTGGAGAAAGTTTTCCACAAATGGATAGTTTTCCACAAATGGACAGTTTCTATGTATATCCAAGAATAAAATAGGAAAGGGCATAGTTAAGCCTTAGACTCTTGTTTTGTATCTTGTTGTGGACAGAAAATTCTGTCAGCCAACCATTCCCTGCTCTCTTGATTGTGTGTTGTCCAAGCTCACATATTGAAAGGGTATGTATGGCCTAGGAACTAGATGGGGATCATTGTTACTTCCTAACTGTTAATGTACTTGATTTCATTTAGTAAAGTTCTTTCAACAATCCCATTGCTTACCATGCTTACTAAAATGTGTAATGACTTTCTTTTTTTAAAGAATGATCTGGAAAAATTTTCAAAAGGTATTGGCAGGTTTACAAGAGAAGATCCCACATTTAAAGTCCACTTCGACACTGAGAGCAAGGAGACAATTGTATCTGGAATGGGAGAATTACACCTAGAAATCTATGCTCAGGTAATGAATAACAAGGAAGTTAACTTAAATTCATTTTATTTATGTCTGTGTTTTGTTACAAGTCAGTAATTCTCAGTCTAATGACTGTAAACTAATAGTGGTTCTTCAGACTTCATTCTGGCTTATATCCAGATGTGGCATACTGTGTTACAAATGTTACTGTCTCTTACAAATTAATTATTTTTGATTTCTAAATCCTTTTATTTGTAAAACATTTGCAGACTCCTAGAATCAAGACTCCCAAGTATTTGCAATAAGATCATCCATCCATCCCTAGGTAGTGGTTAGTTGGGTCAAGCAAATCCTGGTCTCAACCTTAGGGAGAGAACCTGCAGGGAGAGACCTGCTGAGGAAGTTGGCCCACCAGTGCCCACTCTTGAGGCCATTTCTTGCCTGTTTTCTTCTCAAGTCAGTACTTGAAGATCATTAGAATTTAGATAATAGAAAGAGTAGATGGGCTGTATTTTCCCTAGGAAAGGTCTTCTGTATCTCTGAATGAAAACAAAAGCTATTTGACTTATGATTAAAAATTCTGGTTGTGATCATATTTTTGAAGTTAAGATAGTAGAAAACTTATTCCAGAGAATATGTAATAATATGAAACAAAGGTGAAGTTTTAGTGGATAGATAAATTAGAGGTAAGTGTAAGTTAAACAGTCTAAATTAGAATTCATTTATATAAAATCTCTAAAAGTCACTTATATTACTTAATATCATGTATCTAACCTTTGTAAGGTACTTTGTAAGATACTTAAATGATTGAAGATTTATCATTTTTTTTTCTTTTTTTTTTTTTTATTTGAGAGAGAGAGAATGAGAGACAGAGAGCATGAGAGGGAGGAGGGTCAGAGGGAGAAGCAGACTCCCTGCCGAGCAGGGAGCCTGATGCGGGACTCGATCCCGGGATTCCAGGATCATGACCTGAGCCGAAGGCAGTCGCTTAACCAACTGAGCCACCCAGGCGCCCGAAGATTTATCATTTTTTATCATATTTATTTTATTTTTATTAAAGGTTTTATTTATTTATTTGAGAGAGAGAGACTGAGAGAGAGAGCACATGAGAGGGGGGAGGGTCGGGAGGGTCAGAGGGAGAAGCAGACTCCCTGCCGAGCAGGGAGCCCGATGCGGGACTCGATCCCGGGACTCCAGGATCATGACCTGAGCCGAAGGCAGTCGCTTAACCAACTGAGCCACCCAGGCGCCCTCATTTTTTATCATATTTAAATGAGTGCTTCAAAGGTAGTTAAGATTCTTATGATTTTTCTTCTTTCAGTTTATTTTTTTTAAGTATACCAAAAAATTATCTCCCCTCTTCTTTTTAGAGGATGGAAAGAGAATATGGTTGTCCTTGTGTCACAGGAAAGCCAAAAGTTGCTTTCAGAGAGACCATTACTGCCCCCGTCCCGTAAGTATGCAACACAATTAAATATACTGTGAGGCCGGAATTGAAGCTTTTTATTATGGGATATACACACCACTTTTACATCATGATAGTGTCTATTAGGGAATCTGTATCATTCTATACTGTAATGAAGACATTTATACAAAGTGACATTTTGGGATTTGCTTGGCCCCATAAACTAGGTATTGATGAAGATTGGCATACACACATCATTGATAAGCATGTTGACTCATCAGCTGTGCCTCCTTTGGCAGACGGCTATTATATTTGACTTTAGTACCATATTGTGGATGCCAGAGAACTTGCATTCGCCAAGGAATCATCTCCTGCAAGTAAAGGAAACTAACTAATGCTGTGATAAAATTCAGAAAACATTTAAGAAAACAATGTTGGGTTTAGATTTTGTTAGTGACAAAACAGTCTTACAAAGAACAGCAAAAAAGAAGTTAAATGGCTATCAGTATAATACACTTCAACCTGGTGTCTGTATTAATTTATATGAATTCTGATTTAGAGTCAAAATTAATAAGGCATACACTGTGGCTATAAAATATGTCTCAGTTTTCAAAGTGTCATCAAATAAAGGTAAATGATACTTTACCTGAGATGCAATGTCATGAAGTAGAATGGTGTAGTCTAACTCAATGAAGTCATCATTTCTTTGCTATCATAAAAAATAAAAACCTGGTGTTTGAAACTTAGTATCTCTGGCAAAAATGATATGTTCATTTTAAAATTCAGCTTTCATTACTAGATGATAATACTTCCAATTAATAAGTAAAAACAAAAATTGAATGTTATAATTTATTTAGCCTGATCAGAAAAACTGTGTTCTTGGGGCGCCTGGGTGGCTTAGTCAGTTAAGTGTCCAACTCTTGGTTTTGGCTCAGGTCATGATCTCAGGGTCATGAGATGGAGCCTGCTTGAGATTCCCTCTTCCTCTCCCTCCCTCTGCCCTTCCTACCTCCCCAAAAAAGAAAAACTATGTTCTTATAAAAAAGTTTTCTTTCAAACTACATTTTAAAATCATGATTTTTTTCACCTGTTACTCTAAAAGTTGTGTACCCTTTTTAGGTTCTGAGTTGTGATAGCTGCTTCAGAGCATTATGATCTAAAGTTTGTCATTTAAGATTCCTGAATGTTTCCATTATTCAGAAAAGCATCATTTTAAGGGATAAACTACTGAAATGAGTGTTTACATTAAAGGAACCAATTTTATAATAGAAATTCTCTTTTTAAAAACTGAAAGTAGGAAAACATAATGAGTGTAGTTATATGGTTTTGCAATTAAAGCTTTCATCTGTGCTGCTTATTGTTTTGGGCATATAAAGTATTTATACCACCAGCTCCACAGAAATACTGCATCCGCATAGTTTAAAACTACATTCACCAGAGATTTGCTGTACAAGGTTTTTTAAGGTTTATAATCAATGTGTTGCAACAAGCCCTGGCCTCCGAGGGGCAGCATGAGCTGCTGTGGCCCTTTTGGTTAACAGCAGTAAACCTTTCCGCTGAAATTTTAATAATGCTTTAAAACTTTGATGAAGGGTTATAGGAGTTTTCTGTCATAAAACTTCTAGCACTGTCTTGAGCATATTTTGCTACAAAGTCATGCCTTGAAAACCATGATTATGATTGTATAACCTCTGTAATTTGGCCCTGTTACTCAATTATTTGAGCCTCAGTACCCCAATAGGAATTTGTAACCAAAGTTGATGTCTACAGAAATGCATTTAAAAAATCCTCTGTTGGGATACCTGGGTGGCTCAGACTGTTAAGCATCTGACTCTTGATCTCAGCTCAGGTCTTGATCTCAGGGTTGTGAGTTCAAGCCCTGTGTTGGGTTCCACGCTGGGTGCAGAGCCTACTTAAAAATTTAAAAAACAAAAAAAGGGCTCTGTTTCTTAAAATGTTATGGTATTTATGTTAGGTATTGGCATCATACTCTAACTATTGTGATTGGGTATCCTGCCCTCCAGTGCCCGTAGGTGTCTAATAAGTGGTTGCAAAAAAGCCTGTGGAGTAAAGGTGCTCCAGCTTGCAGTTTGTTTCCAGCAAGCTGAAACAAGTCATTTGGAAAGTCCTTTCCTCTGATAGAACTAAAACTGTTTGTTGTGGTTTCTTTGCACTGTTTTTCTACATATCCATTAGATATCAACGGTTGACTTTTTTTTTTTTCTTTCTAACCTCTTAATAAAGCTAAAATGTGAAGTTGACTTTATGTCTTTAAAGACTAGAAAGAGGCGGTTCTAAACAGTCATATCAGACTTAAAAGAATAGGCTAGCAGTGAGATACAAGGTTGTAGATTATGACTAAATGGGTTATAAAAGAAAATGATATACAGCAAGCTTCACAAAGATTAAAAGATGCTAAGATATTTGTTCTAGCTGATCCTTGGGGCAAAAAAATGCCAGCCCCGTCTGAGTAGCTCTGGCACCACCATTTCAATAGAGGAAAAAAAGCACAGGTAGTTTCATTCGCATAGCTGTAAAAACTTGAATACAAAATTTAGATCACCAAAGGATATAATCTGTATTAAGCTGAGCACAAAAAGGAATGCCAAATTGTTTATAACTCAATACTTTACTCTCGTGAAACTGCAGCTTCAACTTTTTTAGCCTTGGGAACTGACCTCTCCTTCAAAATACCAGGTTCACTATTTTAAGTATAAAATGACTAAAGGGGCACTATTTATCCAATTATGAATTATCATACTTTCAGTAAAATAAAACCGTTAATAGTGTATTTTATAGAAATCACTTACCACTTGCTTGACAGTTTGAATTTTTACCATTTTATACCATGTGTTTTCGGTAGAATTCTGCCATATTATATAACCACAGGCAACCCAGGCTAAGTGTCGAATTGGCTTCATTTCTGGAGATACATTTCCAAAACTGTCTGGTGAGGGAAACATTTATATGGTGAATGGAATTATTTTATACATACAGTGTTAACCTTTGAGAAATCTAAATTCTAAGTCCTGTTTTTGTTTCCTTCAAATGTGTACAGAATATAATTTAAGTAAGGCCTTTTTTTGTTGAATTAGACTAGTAATGAATATTTTTGCAAAAACCATTGTATTTCCAACATATTGTTAACATCTAATAGTTTTGAGCACAGATAATTAATATTGATCTTAAAGTTGAAAAAATGTTTTCCATGCCATATTTATATACCTGGAATATTTTGTGCTTCAAGTGGTTCCTTCATGGACTTGAGTCTTTGGTAAAATGTGTTATCTTCTTTATCTGGGTTCTTTCCAATTTCTCCTTCAAATGTGAAGTTGACTTCTGGTGCAGTATCTTGTCCCATTAGAGGGTAAAGTACTTCAGCTGTGCAGTTCAGTGTAACTTGCTGTTTGAAACATTTTCCAAAATACCTTTACATGTAAATGGCCATCCATTCCTAATTATCATTCTTGAGATATAACATTTAAAGTGTTGGCCTCCTAATGGTGTTTCAAACTTGACTTCAGAGAGTCTATTACAGAGGTATCTAATTGGGTGTGGCCTACAGTTTTCTTGAAGGTATCTAAAATAGGTAACTTATTTTATAACTTATAAAGTATCATAATCTTATATTTCATCTCAAAACTTTATTATTTCAGTGTTAATGGGGTGTCCCATTTGTAAGGCCAGATTTTAGTCTGACTTTATGTACTACCTCTGGACTTTGGTTACTTTTTAAGTCTATTACTCTACCGTCTGCTTCTGAAATAACAGAAATATTCTCAAGCCTGGATAAATTAATCTGTATCTAGATGTAAAATTAGAAAATAGTAGCATTGGTTCTTCTTTGAAAGATGGCTGTCTACTAGCTCAGATAATCTTTTAATAAATCTCTTGTTAGCCTTGTGTGTCTTCTGAATTATGCTCAACAAAAGGCAAGCTTTTTTTTAAATTTTAAGATGGTTATGGTACAGACTGCAGTTCCTTTTTTTTCAAAGTTGTCTCACTAATAATTTGGCAAGTATATAATATTTAAAAATTTCCCTGCCCCATTACTGAAAGATTCCTGTGAACATGTTGGTATCATTTGGTCATTTTATTGCTCATAAATATCTAAAAGCACTGGCTTTCTTTAAATGAAAGAAATCAAAAACAGAATGAGAAAGGCAGACCTAAGAAAGTAATGATGACTGGAGAGTAAATTTTACTTCATTTGTCATATTAGGCATAAGTTCAGACTGCCCTAAGAATATATAACATTTTTAAGGGAATTTATTTGAACTGAAATGTGTAGTCTCTTCTAAATAGCTCAATAGAATTACTTCATGTATCTCAATATATTTTTAAAAGCATATAATCTGACCCTTGTATGTTCATTATTTTTTTTCAAGGCAGGGATTTCACAACTTAAAAAAAAAAAATACAAGTTAATCCTATGACTTGATCAGCAAAGGTGATCTAAAATATTTATAGAGTCAGATTTTATTTCATAATAAAGACATTTCACTTACTTTTTGGATAATTTCTTCCACAGAAAATTTAAGGCAGTACTTGTGTCCTCTTCCCGGAATATCCTATTAAGAAAATGTGGTGAGTTATTACAAGAATAACTCGGTTCTTTGTGTTAGAAAAATACACTGTCATTTAGTTGGGGCAGAGGGCTGACTGGTGAGGATAAATGATTAAAGCCTTAGACCTTGAAAAAGGCATGTCACCATGTATGTAAAATCTAATTCAAGAGGTCCTTTATGAGATTTATTTTGGATGAGAACAGAAGAGTGGGATAAAAGCATATATAAAATGGGTTATAATTCACTTTCAATCATTAGAGGGCTTCAACTTCTTGATCTGTGATCCTGAATTCTCTACAAAAGAAATTGTGAAACACCTTTTGATTCTAAGACAAAAAACAGGATATACCTTTGAAAACATTTTCAAAAAGCCCTTTGTACCTTCCAAACCCTGTTCAATGAAGGTGAATTCCATTTGGGGGCAGATTACTGCGAAGTGGTTAGAGATGTTAAGTACTGTTTTTACTTGTCCATTAGCAG